ACGCTGACAAACATTAGCTCTAGAGAGAAGGCTCTACACTACACTACACCACATAACGCTGACAAACATCAGCTCTAGAGAGAAGGCTCTATCTACACTACACCAACATAACGCTGACAAACATCAGCTCTAGAGAGAAGGCTCTACACTACACCAACATACAAACTAGCTCTAGAGAGAAGGCTCTACACTACACCAACATAACGCTGACAAACATCAGCTCTAGAGAGAAGGCTCTACACTACACCAACATAACGCTGACAAACATCAGCTCTAGAGAGAAGGCTCTATCTACACCAACATAACGCTGACACAGCTCTAGAGAGAAGGCTCTATCTACACTACACCACATAACGCTGACAAACATCAGCTCTAGAGAGAAGGCTCTATCTACACTACACCAACATAACGCTGACAAACATCAGCTCTAGAGAGAAGGCTCTACACTACACCAACATATTAGCACTAGAGAGAAGGCCAACATATAACGCTGACAAACATCAGCTCTAGAGAGAAGGCTCTAGACTACACCCAACATAACGCTGACAAACATCAGCTCTAGAGAGAAGGCTCTACACTACACCAACATAACGCAGACAAACATTAGCTCTAGAGAGAAGGCTCTATCTACACTACACCAACATAACGCTGACAGACATCAGCTCTAGAGAGAAGGCTCTATCTACACCAACATAACGCTGACAAACATTAGCTCTAGAGAGAAGGCTCTATCTACACCAACATAACGCTGACAGACATCAGCTCTAGAGAGATGGCTCTATCTACACTACACCAACATAACGCTGACAAACATCAGCTCTAGAGAGAAGGCTCTACACTACACCAACATAACGCAGACAAACATCAGCTCTAGAGAGAAGGCTCTACACTACACCAACATAACGCTGACAAACATCAGCTCTAGAGAGAAGGCTCTATCTACACTACACCAACATAACGCTGACAGACATCAGCTCTAGAGAGAAGGCTCTACACTACACCAACATAACGATGACAAACATCAGCTCTAGAGAGAAGGCTCTATCTACACTACACCAACATAACGCTGACAGACATCAGCTCTAGAGAGATGGCTCTATCTACACTACACCAACATAACGCTGACAAACATCAGCTCTAGAGAGAAGGCTCTACACTACACCAACATAACGCTGACAGACATCAGCTCTAGAGAGAAGGCTCTATCTACACTACACCAACATAACGCTGACAAACATCAGCTCTAGAGAGAAGGCTCTATCTACACTACACCAACATAACGCTGACAGACAGCTCTAGAGAGAAGGCTCTACACTACACCAACATAACGCTGACAAACATCAGCTCTAGAGAGAAGTCTCTATCTACACTACACCAACATAACGCTGACAAACATCAGCTCTAGAGAGAAGGCTCTATCTACACTACACCAACATAACGCTCACCAACATAACGCTGACAAACATCAGCTCTAGAGAGAAGGCTCTACACTACACCAACATAACGCTGACAGACTCTGTCGTTGATCTGCCCAGCCGAACATCAATGCATCAGCACTAACAGTTGAAACTCGGATCTTTCGCGTGATTTACAACCAACGACGGCGCCAAATCGATGCAAACTCCAAGTCACCGTTTTTCAAGCTTTTTACACCCACGGACCACCAAAACGGGGGGAGATATTTTGAGGACCACCTGACAGCTAACTGAAACAGAAAACGTGACCGATTTAACCGTGGGGTGTCCCAATGTATAGAACCTGTTTTATGTGGGTGGGAATTCCTCGATTTGTACCGGTTTTGCTCTCATCGTTGAGGTGTTCATCTTACACACTGCAATCCCGGAAAAGAACAACTACCTAACCGACCCCTTACGTAGAAATTGTGGGCGGGCCACCTGGTCTTTTCTACGTCCCACCCACGGCCATCTTTAGATATAAATAGCCCTGAAGATGGGCGTGGTCCCACCAATGAGCAGCGACCCACATTGCTCTGATTGACCGACATCTCAGGAATGAGATCCTAAGAGAACAAGTCGGCACAGAACCAATTCTGGATTACATACAAAGACAGCAAGTGAAATGGTTTGCCCACTTAGAGAGAATGCCTTGTGACACCATACCATACAAAGCATACATGGAAAGAGAAGAAGGACGTAGAGCACGAGGTAGACCAAGAACAAGATGGAAGGATAACATAAGAGAAACTCTACAACAGAACGATGTGCCTATGGTCGAGGCAGCCAGAAGAGCTAGAAACAGAACCTTATATCTCCCTCGACACCCACAGCGGTAAAAGAGGAAGTGAGGAAGAAGAAGAAAGAAGACTGGCACCTTTCCGTCTTTCCAGAAAATATACTGCGCTGTGAGAAGGCATGGAACTCACAACCCATGGCGATGGCGAGCACGACTAGCAAGACCCGCCCGCGTTTAAAAAAAAGTCTTCAACAATTATAGCATGGGATTTCAGGAACACTGGTGTCAACATATGTGTTTAGTCTGTTTCTTCTCAGATGCTCAGCTCTCATCTTTTCTGCAATCATGTCTTCCTTCATTCTTCTTCCTTCCTTATGTGCCTCCTCCACACAACACGGTTAATGGCACACACCCCCCTCCCCCCCAAGAGTCTATCTCAATGCATGTATCATTCATGTCCCGCTTGCACACATCTTCACATCGCAGTAGAGGTCGGCCCCGATATCTTCTACCCATCTTTAATTCACCACAGAGGATGTCCTTAGGGAAAGTTGCTCTAAGTCAAAACACAATGAGGTAGTACAGCTAGTTCCTGTTCTGGCTTTCTTTCCTTCTGAGATTATTCCAATTAATTTATGAGACAATTTTTACTCAGATCCAGGGAGTTCTTGCTTTAGGCGACGCTCTCCACAATAGATTGACCGTTTTGCGGTGACAAACTGAGCCATATGGGATCAAACCCGGTACAAGGAAGTCGATCCTCCCGACTTCAACCTCAGAACCGTCAGGGACTGACGAATGGGTCGACCCCAGGTCGTAATGGGCAAACGAATAGGTTTGATTCCAGACCTTATTGACAGAAGCATGAATCCTACCTGCCCCTGGAACTGAATCCCAACCAGTCTCTGTAAGCAAGAATGCCAAGCATGAATTACGCGGCTCCGATATTTTAAGATAAGATATAAACAGAACAAAGAGCCCAGTGACTGTATCTTAAAGACCGCAGGCGCCAGAAAACGACACACCCACTGTCAGAGAAACCAGCGCGAGCAGGGGCTGGCCAGTGTCTAAATATAGCCAGTCCGCCAAACGGGCAGCAATTATACAGCAGAAGACACGCACATTGTGCTTACAAGCTCATTTTATCAAACCAACAGCAAATTTTGTTTGTTCATTCTCGTTAGTGTTAGAAAAATAATGCTAATGTTACATTTAAACACACACACAAAGTGCAATAGGCGACTGTTAATGCTCGATAATTACTAAACAAACAAAAATATAAATTAAAACACTTTCGATTTTAAGTGAAATTTCATACGATGTTGGCTGATTTGCTGATTTGGTTGGCTAGATTAAAGTGTAGTATCTGTTCTGGCCTCTTGGCTAAGAGCAGCTCTTCTGCATTGGTCTGGCCAAAGGGACCGGGTTGGTTCACCACAAACCAAACTCACGGAGAAAACACAAACGACATAAGCGAACTTATGCCGGGCAGTCCCCTGTTTTGGTCTTGATTACCGACGTAATATCCTTTGAGTAGTCGGCTCTGTGGCTAAGTCGATGCGAACGCTTCGTAATGCGGGGTTCGATCCCAGCTGCGGGCCATGCGCTTTGCGTTGGTTTCGACAGTGGTCTCAAGAAAGCCGATCGTCCAGAAAGCAATGGCAAACTACTGGATGTAAATTTGCCTAAAAAACCGCACAACAGCCATGGGCTGTTGGGATTGGTTCTGCAACGTCCTGTAAAGGATACGCAACTAACCTAGTCGGGCGGCCAGGCCAGACGTCTGGGGGACCGACCTGGTTTAAAAAAATGAAGACAAAGCTATGTGTAGGGTACACGGGGCGAGATATGGACTCCACTGGAGCTTTCGCCATGGCTACCGGTCTCGTGGTATACATTTTCCAATAGAAGGATCGAAGAAGGAGCACCTGGCTGGTTGCCAATTGTAGACGACTGTCTGGTTTACTGGTTTATTTGCTGGCTGCCTGAGCAATAAGTTGTCTGCCCCTCATGAACTCCCAGGCCCCATTCTCAACGGGGTGGGGGGAGGGGGAGTAAAGACTCACTGTATATCGGATGTGTTGTGAAAATCACAGATATAGATGAGCTTAAACCACACGCAAAAACATGTCACAGAGGAAAAAGATGCGGGTCATCTTTGCCTGTTCTCTGAAGTTCAGAGTATAATAACAAATAATGCGCCGCTTGTGTGTATGTCACCTATCATTTGCCTTTGTGAGAGAAACAACACAGACGCTATAGTACCAAACAATGTACCACCTGAACACGCATACACACAGCAGATCTCAACAACGCCTAATGGGTTAGTTTGGTTAGTGGATGGTGACGAGATCTCTTGACTCTAACCTGATTGCGAGACATGGAAGTCTAGCAAGATAAAGCACGTATATGCCACTTTTGAAGCAGAGAGATAGGGCATTATACCAGCTCCTAGTGGGGACAATCAGTAAATATACCATGCAGTGGCTGCTGCATTGGAGGACTGAGCACACATGTACATGCCGAATGTGCAGTGACGTCGACTGTAATAGCATAATTTAACATAATAGCCATTATTGGTATTATAACATATTTATTAGTATATATAATAACAATATTAGACTGCAAGCAAGTAAACCCCACTAAATGCAAAAACTATAATAACTATCCCAGCCATAATCAGCGAGACCTCTCCTGGGATTCAATCCTGGACACCAACAGTAGTTTGCTAGGGTTCTATCACCCCACCACAGAAATAAAAGACAAACACACACGAGTTATACACGCAACACAACCAACAAACTAACCTTCTTCCATTGTTAATCCTTCAAGTGATATTCCAGCCGGGAAGCAACTTCCAGTGCCTGCAGTACGTGTGCACGTGGGCTTAGCAAACTCACGTCTGCTCGCTCAACTGGGCCCAGTCAGGCGCTAACCGTTGCTCATCGATTGGATCTATACATCCAATCATTCTGTGCAGACAAATGTGTCATTGAACATGTGCCCGTTGTATAAATTGATCACACTTAATTGCAAAATTCGGAGTCTTTCAAAGGTGTCAGTGGCGAAGCGGTTAAGAATGCAGCCTGATCGAACCGCTTGAGATTTTTTATAGCAGAATATTTTGAAGGAAGGCGAAGGGGAGACTATTTAACACAGAGGTTCAACCTGTGGTCGCGACCCTTTCCAGGGGTCACCTAAGACTATCGGAAAACATATTCACTGAAGTTTACAAAGTAGCAAAGAAAATAACTGTATGGCTGGGGGTAGCCGCAGGATAGAGAACCGTATTAAAGGGTTGCCACATTAGGAAGGTTGAGGGCCACTGATATAGCATAGCATAGCTAGGGTCGTGGAGGTGTATCGATGGAAGCACTTTCTCTGCCTTCCGCTTGTTGAAAAAGTGTATAGTAATTTAGTGCTGTCCATTTGTCGATGTTGTCACATCGGGTTCTGTTTTACTCCTATCTTTTTCGACTACTGGTATCAGTGAGAGATCAAAACAAACAAACAAAATGGGCCGTTTGGTTAGCGTCTGCAGGTGGTCTGTTCGTTTCACCGTCGCGTCTTTAGGTCCACACGTTCAGTTTTCATCAATCCTTCTTCTTCGCGTTCACTGGCTGTAAACTCTGGACTTTAGTCTGGTTCCAGAAGTGGGATTTTGCCAGGCAGACAAATGTACCACGAGACAGCCCTAATTAGTTTACTTTCTTCTTCTTCTGCCTTTCTATCCCCCAATGGAGCATAGGCCCTCAACCAACTCACGCCAAGTCGTTCTATCCTTCGCCATTGCATGGAGCTCTCCCCATGTCCTCCCAATCTTTCTAACCTCATTCTCCAGCTCTCTCCTCCATGTGTTTTTTGGCCTTCCTTTATTCCTATGCCCCTGTGGGTTCCAATGCAAAGACATTCTAGTTATGCTGTTCTCCTGTTTTCTCAGTGTGTGCCCTATCCAACGCCAGCGTCTTTTCCTCACCTCCTGATCCACTGGAGCCTGTTTAGTTCTCTCCCAAAGTTCTACATTAGTTATTATATCATACCATTTTATTCCCTCTATTCTGCGCAGGCACCAGTTAATGAATGTCTGTAATTTATTAGTAATTGCCTTGGTTGTTCTCCATGTTTCCGCCCCATACAATAGTACTGATTTGACATTAAAATTAAAAATTTTTTAGTTTAGTATTTCTTTTAATTTCTTTTGACCTCCACAAATTCCCTAGTGCTATGAAAGCCCCTCTTGCCTTTTGATTTCTTATTTTAATATCTCTATCAGTTCCTCCATCTCTATCTACATTACTGCCTAAATAGGTGTACGACTCCACGTCTTGGAGTGGGGTGCCATTAAGAGAAACCACATTACTATTTGCCTGATTTATTCTCATTATCTTTGTCTTTCCTTTATGGATTTTCAGACCAAGCTGCTGTGATCTCGCATTAAGTATATTTAATAATTTATCTTGTATCTGATTCCGTGAATGGGACAGAAGAGCAATATCATCAGCGAAGTCCAGATCATCAAGTTGTTTTGTAGGGGTCCACTGAATTCCATTCTTGGTGTTAGCAGTTACTGTTTTCATAGTCCAGTCTATAGCCAGTAAAAATAAGAGAGGCGACAAAAGACATCCCTGTCGCACACCTGTTTTTATTTCAAATGCATCTGTTAGCTTTCCCTCTTGAAGAACTCGACATTTTATGTCTTTATATGTTGCCTTTACTAAGTTGATAATTTTCTGTGGGATTCCATAGTGCCCCATCAATTTCCAGACAGATTCCCTATCAATGCTGTCAAATGCTTTTTCATAGTCTATGAATCCAATGTAAAGTGGTGAGTTCAGTTCAATGCTTTGCTCTATTATAATACGTAATGTGGCTATCTGATCAGTACAGGATCTGTTTGACCGAAAACCTGCCTGCTTACCTCTAGCATTTTATCAATAGCATCTTTTAATCTTTCCAAAATAATTCTACTTAATATTTTTCCAGGAACTGACAGCAACATAATTCCTCTATAGTTTTCACACTCCTGTAGATCACCTCTTTTGGGCAGTTTCACAAGGTATCGTTCTCTCCAGTCTGCTGGTATTTCTTCGGTCTCCCAGACTTTACTAAATAATCTATGTAGCAATTCTGTTGATGTGTTTATGTTGGTCCTGATGGCTTCATCTGGGATACCATCTGGGCCTGACGCCTTTCATTCCTTGAGAAGATTTATAGCTTTTCTAATTTCCTCTTTGGATGGTATCTCACAGTTGATATCCAGTTCCATTTCTAAAGGCTGGATATCTGGGGGAACCTCTGGGCCTGGTCTATTTAGAAGCATTTCAAAATATTCAACCCATCTCTCCATTTGATCTTTAGTGTTAGTAAGTACCTTTCCTTGACTATTTTTGATTGATCCAGTTGGCTGACTATATTTACCTACTAATTTTCTTGTGTTACTGTAAAGTTCTCTGAGGTTTCCTTTTGCTGCTGCTGTCTCCGCTTCTTGTGCTAGATCATTTAGATATTTCACTTTATCTGCACTTATATGCCTCCTAACTTCCTTGTTGGCTTCTGTGTAATTCTTCTGAGCTCTAGCTTTAGCAGCTCTAGTTTTGCTATTGTTTAATTCTGCCTTTTTACTTTTCCTATCTTCAATCAGTTTAATGGTTTCTGGTGTTATCCATGCTTTATGTTTCCTTTCTTTCTTGCCAAGAACTTCTACGCAAGATTCATTCCAGATTCCTTTGATCTGATCCCAGCAGACTTCTGTGTTGACATCTTCAGCTAACTGCTGCAACACCTGGTACTTATTAGAGACCGTAACTGAGAACTGTTCCTTAATTTCTTTATCTCTGAGAAAGTCTACATTATATTGGTTTCTATGATTATAAGATGTTATATATCTTTTTAGTTTCAACTTGCGTAAAGGGATGATCTAAAATTTTTGTTAATACATATGTGGTCAATTTGATTAGTTGTCTTATGGTCTGGTGATTCCCATGTTGCCTTGTGTATTCTTTTATGGGGAAAAATACTTCCACCAATAACATACTGGTTACCTGCACAAAAATTTGTGAACAATTCTCCATTTTCATTCATTACTCCCCATTGTCTCCCCATAATTTCTTCATAACCTGTGTTGTCTGATCCTATCTTAGCATTCAAGTCACCCATCAAAATTTTCAAGTTGCCCTTTCTTTCATTATTTATAATATTTTGAAGCTGCATGTAAAATTCTTCCTTAACAGATGCATCTTTATCATTTGTTGGTGCATAACACTGTATTACCGACATGTTCACCTTCTGTTTTACTGTTCTAAAAGATGCTCTTATTATTCTGGGACTCACAGCTTCCCATTCTATTAGTGCCCTGTTTGCTTCTTTTGATAGCATCAGGGCCACTCCTTCACAGTGTGGTGAATTTTCAAAAACAAACAAAATGGGCCGTTTGGTTAGCGTCTGCAGGTCGTCTGTTCGTTTCACCGTCGCGTCTTTAGGTCCACACGTTCAGTTTTCATCAATCGTTCTTCTTCTTCGCGTTCACTGGCTGTAAACTCCGGGTGCAAGTTTTGCTTGTTCAGTTGCCATTAATGCTATGAATGAAATTGTTTAGATTAATTTTTCATTATTTCCTTTACGTAAATGGAAAGTTTGGTTAATTTTACTGTCAAATCACTTGACCCAGAAAGTTTGCTCCTGCATCTGCTTTTTATTTAAGCGTACGTTGAGAATGCACTGCAGTCTTGCCAATAGCATTGTCTTCTGAATACACCTGCATCCAGAACTGTTCTTGGCTTCCCTCACTGTGTTTCTGTTTTAAACTGCTGTCTTCGCTGATTTCAGATTCTGAAAAATTCTTGATTTTTGCTGCAGCACCCAGTTTGAGAACCGCTGCATTAGAGGATATAAGTGTCCTGTCTGCCACTGATAGCATAGTGTTGGCCAAGAAATAGTTCTGATAAGATACACTTTAGTACTCCGGGGTATCTGCTTGTGTGTCACCAGGGAAGATAGTTGTCCCATTACTTGATTACCTTTGGCACATCTCAAGTTAATTTCTCTGTCCAGTTTTTCCATCAGACGTGAAAATTTCTCCCAAATACTTAAATTCTTCTGTTTGTCTTTAGGCGTGTTTTTTAATTTTATTTTTAGAATGTCTCCCTATTACCACTGTCTCTGTCTTCATAGTGTTTATTCTCATATTTTATTCCTTCCCTTTGTTATTAATTTGATTTAGGTGGTTCTGTAGTCATTCCATACTTTCTGCTAAGAGTACCTGATCCTCGGCGAATAGTAATTCTGTAATATCTTCTTCATGATTAAAGTTTGTTTCCTTACATATAGTATGCATGTATGTTATAAAAAGAAGTGGTGATAGTACACAGCCCTGACGCACACCAGAGTTTACTATAAAAGTTCTTGACAATGCTGCCTTCGATCTACTCTGACCTGCCCGTTAGGGAGGCAGTGAGTCTATTTTCGTTCCCCAAAATGGTCCCCCAGGCCCACAGAAGGAACTTTACTGAATTACAGAAAGGCAGAAGATGTTGAGGTTAACCTCTAATAGAATTTGTTTAAATGTGCCAACAGAAAATGAATGGTACAGGTACTTGGGTAGATTTGTGGGAACAAGATGCCATGGAATATGTTATATTAAGGGGGAAAATCCTGAAGGGATAAAAAAAAGAAAAGATGATAGATAGTTTCAGAGGTGAACATCTTAGAAGAAGCACAATACATATACACATTAAATACATGCTATGGCAACCTATGATCTAATTGTGGGAGACTTTTCTAATTACCAAGTGGGTTTTTGTATTCACCTTCGCCATCAA